AAAACTGAATAGTTTCATTTAATTATTAAAAAACAAGAAACACTTGGAGTTCGTTCGATAAACACTGAAATTATGGAGATTCATTTCAAAGTTGACTTAAGGTCTAGAAATTATGCAACCTCCATATAAATATGTATGTATGTTTATAAATATTTCTAGTTTCAAGATATGATATGGACTGGACAGATTTTTAAAGACATATATTGTATATAATATATGCATATACATATATATAAATACATGTTTTTATATATGCACGTATGTATATGACAAAAGGCCTTAAGGCTCGTCTTCGTTTTTAATGCGGAAGAGATTTCTTGTTGTTGTCTTCTTTGGATTTTTATTTTTGGCTGCATTACAAGTGGGCGGGTGGCAAGCGGACATGGGGGCGGGGAGAGTGGTGGGGCGGGAGGCGTGTCTGGGCAGTCCCCATATGAGTGTGTGTGTGTGTGTGTGCATATAATTGTTATTTAATTGCGTAACGGCAAACGTAGGCGGATGCGTGCTTAATGCCACTGTGCGGCCAGTTTCACGCACAGTGTGGCAAAAACAAATATGGCAACAGCCATTTCCGCATGTCAACGAAATCAAAGTCAAAAGCTGCGATGCGTTGCATTTGGGATTCAGTTAAACTGCAGCGCAAGAAGAGGAGAAGAAAGTGTAAATGCTGCAATGACAGAGCTAGAGGGAGTGAGCGAGAGAGAGAGAGAGAGAAAGAGAGATTGAGAGGTAGATAGGCAGAGTAAGTTGTAGCTGAAGATCTGTTTAGCTTAGGATTGTTTAGGGCTTTTCTTGGTAGCCCTGGAGCGAAGGTTTCGAAAGGGCGACTTCAACTTTTACTTTGAGCTGGATAAATGAGCTATGCAGCGGACAGCGTTTTTTGTGACGCGTGCAGTGAAATGCAAAGAAAGACAGACAAACAGAGAGGGAAAGAGAGAGAGAGAGAGAGAGAGAGTGAGTGAGAGAAAGAGAGGGAGAGCAGCACGTAGACAACATTTATTATTGCCAAATGCACGAAACATTTTGGGCTTTGGGGCTGGACACGCATCGCTAACTACGTGCGCAGACCAACTGTGGGCGCTGGCGTCCATATGGCGTCTATAGCCTCAAACACACACACACACACTTGCCTAGCCCCTATATGGTCTATAACTTTTAGTTTTCAAGTGAAGACGTTTGTTGCCGGAGCTAGGGCATAGGAGGGGGGAGAGAGAGTGTGAAGGTAAACGTAGCTGCAGTTGTAGGTGGCGGACGGCCAGGTGAGGAGCGGGAGGCGAGGCAGCCATGTCTATGACCATGTCGACGAGGGAGCGTCGTAAATTGTAAAAAAAATTGGAAGAAAAACGCGCAATAATTAAGCGAATCAAAAGTGAAGCAAAAGCCAACAGCTGCATAAAACGGCGATAAAAACAGATTAGGATATATATAAAGATATATGGAAAATTGAGCCAGACTAGGCAATCACTCTGTAAAGACTGGCTAACGATCAAAGAACATTCGGGAATATATTGTATTATTATAGATTTATTATCTGAGCTTGTTTATAAGGAAACAAAAGAACTTTTACTATATACATATACA